AAACTGATATAGTTAAGTTCCTTCTATTCTTATAATGAGAAAATAATTTTTTAAAATATAAAACAGTTTTCTCTGTAAACAGAGCACTGCTCATACTATATTTTTAAATTTTTTAAAATGCTTGGCAGATCAACGTTCAAAAGTTGTTCATCTGCTTATTTCTTCATTGAAAGATTGGCATCGATTAAATATCTGCCCACATTTGTAGTTGCATTTAAAGGTATACCAGTGGGTATTCCTTGTCTTTGACCGCTGGAAATATTATGCTTAATATTTAAAATATGACTTCTTTTCCTAGTTTCCACAATAATTAAAACTGCCCGTACTACCTTGAACTCCACGCCTATTCGAAAATATATAAATTGTCCAATAAAGACCAAAAGTTAAGTATTAACGATTTCCGCCAATGTTTATCAATACAACACATCATATAAATAGCCTTAGCCTCTAAATTGAAGGTGATCCTTTTTAATAAAAAGGTGCACAATTTTTCGATAGCTACGCCTTAAACTTCAAGAAATCTATCAAAACACAGCAACTTGAAGGGAAACTAAAAGCTTTTATGGGCAAAAATTAAGACCGCAAAAAGTCTAGAGGTGCGTGGAGCATTGCAGCAATTGGAATAAGGGTGAAGACGGTGAAGCTTAAGGAAACACGAAGCGTAGGCGGGAGCAAGTTTTCTGCGACCGCGTCGTACTCGTATCGAGTCGCGTGAAGAAGGCAAAATCGCATCATTTGAAAATGTATTCGTTGCGAGCCGCCAATAGGCACGTTGCGCTGCGTTTCGCGGGTTCTCGCCATTGGTGCACTTTATTTTCAGTATTTACACTTTATTCCTTTCTCCAGTGACTATTTCACACATAAATTACCTTCCTACATGTATGTTAGTGTGCAGAATCTGACATCTTATATATGTATAAAATTGAATGACGTGTTGAAATTGTTCGCGATAAAAATGTTAAATAAAAGATTTATTTTAGTAATCGTTACATATATACATATGCAAATATGTAAATATATATATGTATAAATGTATATATGCATATATGTATATATGAGCATATGTATACATTCTATTTTTTTTATATAAACTTAGGAATAAACTATTATAAATAAAATAAATATATAATGTTGTATTTGGGAACCTTTCCATTTTATAATTGTTTTTTTGGCTGGCTCGAGGTCCGAGGTTTTTTTTTTCAAGACAAAATGAAAATGTAATTTTGTTTGAATTTAACCAATATATTTCGGCTGCACTTCGGCAACCGTCTTTAAACAATTAACATTAAGATACATTAAATTCATGTAATTGTTAGAGGTTGAATAGTTTCATTAATGTTAATTTTTTATACCCTGAACCCATTGAAAATGGGTAAAAAGGGTATATTGTATTTGTGCAAAATGTAAATGTATGTAACAGGCAGAAGGAAGCATCTCGGACCCCATAAAGTATATATATTCTTGATCAGCATCAAAGTCGAGTCGATATAGCCATGTCCGTCTATCTGTCCGTCCGTCTGTCCGTCCGTCAGTCTGTCCGTATGTATGAACGCAAGGATATCAGAACTTATAAAAGCTAGAGACTTGAAATAAAAGCTGTAGGTCCTATTGTGCCTGCGCAGATCGAGTTTGTTTCCGATAATCGATAACTTACTCCGTTTCCAAACAATCGATAAAAATTGATATTGATATCCTGTTTTTTGTGCATTTTGGTAAATAACCAAACTTGACATATAGCTTCTAAAATAGAATATATATATTCATTTGATGTTGGAAGAAGAGGGTTCAGGGTATCCTCTAGTCGGGAGCTCCCGACCTCTTATAGCTCTCTAGCTCTTATAGGTTCTGAGATCCTTGCGTTCATACATACGGATAGACGGACAGACGGACAGACGGACATACAGACAGACGGACATGGCTATATCGACTCGGCTTTGATGCTGATCAAGAATATATATACTTTACGGGGTCGGAGATGCTTTCTTCTGCCTGTTACATACATTTGGATTTTGCACAAATACAATATACCCTTTTTACCCATTTTTAATGGATTCAGGGTATAAAAAATTGGCATTTTCATTTTGTCTTGAATAAAAAAAACCTCGGACCTCGAGCCAGCCAAACAAACAATTATCAAATAAATATAATTTAACTTACTAAAGTTTATTGACCTATTCGGAAAAGAATTTTTTTAATTATTGCGAATATTATATAGACAAATAGTGCCGCCATAGCTTTTCTAGACTGATCGAACGAAATGTATTTATTTTATAAGTTTTTATGCAGCAGCTTACAAAGTATATGAATCTTCTATTCTATTTTAATATGCTTAGACAAAGCCAGAAAGCAACATCAAGTTAAGCAGCTTATGGAATTAGTTTTAATGTTGTCAAGTTTGTTATTTTAAATAAACGTAGATAATGTAAATTATTTAATTAAACCTATATTAAGTATCTTTGTTCACATATATATTTGAACATATACACATATATTGGGGGTATTTGCAGGCCTTGCCCATTAAAAATGTTTCTGACATTTTAGATATCTCTTCTTCACCCATTTAAATTCATCCATACTATCCCTTATATATATCAAAATTGGCTGAAAATGTTTCTTCTTTTTGTTCATATGTCGATGGGCATCAAGCTCATTTCCAAAAATGTCTACATACATAGATATGTAACATGAGGTATTCCAAATATCTCTTTATATATATAACTGTTTGTTTTTTCTAATTCGTAATTAACGCCCGTAAGAGCTATGAGGCTAAACTTTTTACTGTGGTTACCATATGAGATGAAGATGTACGTTAAGATGTGGCTTTAGGAAGTTCCACCCGCAAGTGTGAAAAAATTGAAAACCCCTACTATAAAGCTTTCTGGCTTACCATTCGGAAAATCTATTCATCCTTGGTGGATTTAGAGGGAAAATTTTCAGTTTCATTTCATTTCGAAGAAATTTTATGAAAATTCATTGCAGACATGCTTAAAACTTTTCGCAGAGTGCAAGCTTCCTCCGTAGAAAATGCTGATCAAAGATTTTTGTACCAAGTTTAAAGTTTCTGTTTCACACTTTTCGGAATATCATCTAATGGTGCCCCATCGGAGGTTTATTATTTCTAGTACAGGGTATATTCTAGCGGTCAATTTTGACTACAGCACTCTTGTTTTCAACGAAAGGCCCATATGATTTTTTTAATTAAATAAATAATCGTTTTCATCTCTTCGCTACCGCTTAAGTACAAAATGTAGCCGTGGTTGCTATGTACGAGTTTAGTTACGTATACGTAACAGTCGGTACAGTCCCGCACCAGAAGCTAATATTGAAAGCAGCAGCTCTTGCCTTTTTCTCGCTCGCACTTTTGTTTATACGCTTGATTCGTCTCTTAAAAATGTTAGCAAAAGTTTCCTTCGTTCGTCTTGTTTCATTTTAGAGACTCACGCATACATTTAAGCTATTTAATTAATTCCCTTATTTGTGTATACTCGAATATGCTTATATTTATGTATACATTTGCTTTACTCTTCCTTGACAGCACGACAGCGGCGTAGCCACAGTCACAATCTTGGCGTCAGCCTCGCGGGTTTTCGCTCATTATGTTCTACAAAATGTACTAACACAGATGCAGACGCCGACACAAATACACACACATGCACACGCGCATATATACACACAGACACCCCCAACATATATAGCATGAACATCTTAAGGCAGCGGTAGCGGCATCGGCTGCCTACATTGTCGACAGCGCAGTCTGATTGGTCGTTCTAGCTCGCGCTGCTTTTGCGCCGCGCCTAGAGGCCACGAGAAACCCGTTTCAAGATGAAGATGCCACAGACAAGCGCGCAGCAGAGCGGCTGCAAGTATGATGGGCGAGTGCACCCTCTGCTTGTGTTAGGGTGTAATTTCCAGAGCAACAAAGCACATTGCAGTTTTTTTTTTAAGCTCGCGAAAAAGTTTACAAGCTCTAGTTTAAAATGAATTTCTACACAGAATATATACATACTCACATGCCTGAGCGCTATCACACCGTTTTATACCCTGTACCCATTTCAATCAGTACAAAGTAAGATGACATTCCCTGAACCACGCACCGAGGTGCCGACACAAACATTTTAACCATAGTTAGTTATACATGTTATAATTTATCGCACACGTACATAAAATCACACATTCATACGCACTCACGCGCTTGCTGCGCAGTCTACGATGCTTTCATATCGATATCATGGAAACATAGCAAGCTGTTGATGCTTTAAAAGAGATGCTTCCTTTCTGCCTGTTATATATACCATTATACAACCTATATCATTTATCATATACCCTGTTTAAGCATTTTCAATGAGATAAGGGTATGAAAACAAGTCAAGAGTGCTCTAGTCTGGAGGGTCCTGAAGTCTGCGCCAAGCTGCCGTTGCATACTATCTTGCTTGTATACATATGCACACAAACGCACGCCTAAAGCAGCGCACTCGATGTGCCTCCCTTGTGCATTCTTGATTACTATTAATGTTTATAATCTAATATTTATGAAATTGACAGGGTTTGAAGCCAACTAAAAAACAGATCTTAAAACTTATATATATATCGATATTATGAAAATGTTTGGCATATGCAAAAATATATTTAAAACTTAAAACTCTAAATTTAGCATATAGTTTGGGGAATCGGAGATTCATTCTTCTGCCTATTACATAACCTTCTTACCCAAAGGCTCAACGTAACAAACAGTCTGAACATTGAAGATATTTTCATGAATTCTTGAAAAACTTCGGAATTAACTCCTCTTTAAACCAGTTAAAATGTTATTTCAATTGCATACAAATCTATATTTCTAATTTAGTTCTGTAACATTTCGAGCATAAAGACTTATTAGAATACCAGCTTTGAGCGCACTAGAATGAAATTTAAATATGTCAAATAGAATATTTCGTCTGTATAAAATAGAAATACATCAGCAATGATAATATTTTCACATTTTTATACAAAACTAGAAAATGTTAAATTTTATAGATATTTTTTTATATAAATATGCTCATGTGGTACCGAAACCGCAGGACGTTCGGTAATTCACATCGAGTGGTCAGAACTCATTGAACGGCCGCATTGTTCTTTCTGCGTCCCCTGGCGAATCTGTCAACTGAGAAATAATCGATGTGTTTTTAGAGTTTAATCCCGTTTAACTTACTGGCGAAGTCCACAGACAAATTTTTCAATTTTTACTAACTCTACATCTATTACGCTTTTTTTTCCAAGCCTAAAGGTGTGCTTTAATATTTTGTGCACCATTCCAATCATCCATGCACATTTGGGACAACTGCTGCCTCTCTTTCTCAGATGTTAGATGCTAGGTGGCGCCACTGTTTTTGACTTTAATGTTGCTCCTGCCATCTATCGGTATATGTTTGCAGAAATGGATATATTAAGGTATTTATATGATATGGGTAATTTTCTCGTTATTGAGAGTAGGCACTTAGGTACTTTACTTTCTATATTCTCTTTTTCTAATTTACTAATGTCTAAGGAAATTTTCTCTTTTCCCCTCACTGGCAACCCGTGGTATGCAGGAGAAGATGGGGAATCTAAAAGCTCACGAAAAAAATTTATGTTAATATTGAGCGACACCGAGAGTTACAATCAAGTATGTAAGTGTAACATTGCAATGGATAATTTACTATACTCTTCCAGAGGTTATTGTAGATTTATCATGAAATTTGTAACGGGTTGAAAGCACATTTACCAAACATAAAAAGAGAATTACATTTAAAAATTGAAGCTATCGATGAAGTTTATGAGTTAAAAGGAATGCGTTATATTTTCCGAAAAAATGGAGCAAGTAAAGGTTTTGCCATACTCTGTTTCCGCTGCAATAACAGCTTCAAATGCAAAGCAAAAACCCTATAGAGACAGGTATGAGAAGGCCAGCCGATATCTAATAAACGAAAATAATTTTTTTTACCAAGAACATTATACTCCTTCTTACCCATATTCAATGGGTTCAGGGTTTAAATATTGAAAATGTCTCAAAAAGTTTGATCTTAGTCAAACCATTTTTTATATATCTATATTTTAGTTTGGGTTAGGGCTTATTTTTGTTGGTCGGTATTGATATTGTGGGCTTGAAATATAACCGTCTAACAATCCTGCTGCCAACTTATATTTACAAGTACACTTAGCGCAAGGCGTTTGTTGCATTGGTAATGACCACCATGTACACCTTAAGGTGTAAGCTTATATTTAATTTCATATACAAACACGCAGGTTAAAAGCTACGTGCTATAATTTAGCGACTGCTCTTCCTCCTCTCTCTCCCATACACACTGAGGAATAGTTTATTTAATTACTACTATGTATATTTTGCGAGAGTTTAACGGTCGTTTTAGGGAAAACAGGAGGAAGTCTAAAAAAATGTGAATAAATTACTTATACAACTTTGATCGCAGGATCGTACCTGACGGACGAGAAGACTGGCTGTAAAAATTATCGACTCAGCTCGTCCATCAGATAAATAGAAGTGTTCGTACTAGGGGCTGTAAATGTTAAAAGTTTTAAAATAAATTTAACACTTTTCGAATTATTTATTCATTTTTTAATGTTGGCAAGAAAAACTTTCTTAAATATTAATTTTTGTTTATCTTATGTATTTGTATTGTTTAGTCATTATATATATGTTAAGTTATAAACCTTTATTATTGATTTCTTAAATTTAGGAGCAAGTTTTAAATTCAAGTTGAAGTAATTCCGAAACTTTTATTTTAAAAATAAGCTCACTTCACATAAGAGAATGTATATACATTTATACTTATAGATGTTTAAATATTATCTTTTCTTACACACAAATGCGCATTTGTAATAAAAACTAAAATTAATTATTTCTATTTCTTGTACTGTTAAGAGCTGGTAGATTAACAAGAAATTTTTTCCTATAATTTTTGTGTATTGACCCGACCTCGCTCTCGACGTCCTCCTCGTTTAGTTTTTAAAAAAAAAAGCTAAAAAGAATTTAAATAAATAAGAAAACCAACCACCAGCGACGACAGCCCCATTGCTAGGTTAGATACAAAGCACAATTCGCATCGTAAGGAGAGCAATTCAACATCTTCCCACCGCCAAACCCACTCTGTCAGGACTCAATCCAGGACGGCCGACAGTGGTTCAGAGACTCCAGAGACTCCATACCGTCGACAGCGCAAAAAACGCAGAGGCCAGCTTGGAAGCCAAAGAAAAATTGGTGTTTTACTGCGTTATGGCCGAACGCCATCGACGAGCTGCTCTGTACTGCGCCGAAAGGATCTTAGGCTGGGCGTCAACGATAGTGGGTTTAAGAGAAGAAGGGACAGAAGGCGTCGTTCGTAGTCACGTCAGTCATCATCGTCATCATCATCATCAATATTTGAATTTAAAATTTCTTATTTTGCAAACGCGCGCCATATTTATTTCTTTTGATTTTTCTCGCTTCCCTTCCTGTCACTTTTTGTGCGTTCCAGTTTTAGGCGGTCGGTCGGTTTTTAGATGGCGCTTCGTCTTGCATACTACCACCCACCACCTACACCGTCGTTTTGTTTTATTACGCAAGCATTTTCAACCATTAATAGCCGCGGGGCATTAAATTTTTAAATCACCCGGTTCGGCCGGGCCAGGGTGGTGGTACGATGGCAATGACTATGGCGATGGCGATGGGCAATGACTATGGCGATGGCGATGGCAGTACTGAAATTGATGGTGTGGGTTGGAACAAAGAGTTGGGGTATGGGGCAGCGGCCCGCACAAATTCAATAGCAATGGTGTAACAAGTACAGTCACGCAGAAAAACTAAGCTTTATGTTTGTCACTCTGTGAAAAGAAAGCTAAATTTGGGGATAAAATGGACCAAACACAGTCATGAAATAAAATTCCCTGTCCAAAAATTGTTTAAGAGTACAATAATACTAAGCTCAGTCTCTTGAACTGTTTTTATACCCTGAACCCATTAAAAATGGGTATACAGGTATATTGTATTTGTGCGAAAGCCAAATGTATGTAACAGGCAGAAGAAAGCATCTCCGACCCCATAAAGTATATATATTCTTGATCAGCATCAATAGCCGAGTCGATCTAGCCATGTCCGTCTGTCTGTCCGTCCGTCCGTCCGTATGTATGAACGCAAGGATCTCAGAACCTGTAAAAGCTAGAGACTTGAAATTTTAGATGTAGGTGCTCCTAGTTCCCGAGCAGATCGAGTTTGTTTCCGATAATCGATAACTTAGTCCGTTTCCAAGCAATCAAAAAATCGATATCGATATCCTGTTTTTAGGGCATTTTTGGTAAATAATAAGAGCTAGAGTCACCAAACTTGACATATAGCTTCTAAAATAGAATATATATATGCATTTGATGTTAGAAGAAGAGGGTTCAGGGTATCCCCTAGTCGGGAGCTCCCGACTAGAACCTCTTACTTGTTATTTTAATAGCACTGTCGACTTTTACCTTAAGCTTAGTTTAACTACTACTACTACCCGAATGAATCAAGAACTGCATCACTTAGACCACTCGTCTATCGAGGTCTGCTATTATTCATATGTAAATGCTCAAAACATTTAAAAAAGCTACATCATTTTTCGACTATGGCTCAATATTCCACTCAATCTTAAAGTTGTTATATTTTAATTTTAGTCAAATATTTTGTTTTATATAAAAAATAACTTAAATATCAAATTCCTTTAAAAATGTATTGAGTATCCTTAAAATGAACATTTTAAGGAACACCCTGAACCTTCAAAAACTTTCCTTCCTGAACCTTCCAAAACCATAAACAGCACGCGCTATGCGCTAACTTGCTCTGCCTTAAAAATTAAATGTAAGAAATTTAAAAAAAATTCGACTGCTGTGCACAAAATTTCACCGAACAGGAGATCACACAATATTTATTACAATTACAACTAATACAACTGCAGTTCTATTAATAAACTTATTAATATACTTAAATAAATGCAACGAGGTTTATTAATACCACCACACGATTTTTTCAACGCACTTCTGTTTCTTAACCGAATTTGATGACATTTTCTGATTCGTTGGTGTTTGAAATTCAAATTTGTATTTAGTTGATTTTGGGGCTTGGGTCAGTATTAAAAAATTAAATATACTTGATCTGTGTTTATTATACGAGAAGCTACTGAGAAATGTTCTCAAAAACGACGCAGACAGACCTCTGCAAAGTTTTAAAATAAAATAAAAATGCTTTCAAACTTAAAGACGAGTTTGCATAAAAAAAATTGCTATAACTAATCTAAATATCTTCTGCTTCGCAATATCTGCCTGCCTCACCAAATAAGCACATATCTATACATGCACACATTTATGTAAATCAATATTAGCTGAGGTTCTGCGCACCCTTCAAGACATTCAAACCCCTCGGTTAACCCTCCATATAAGCAAGCAAATGGATTGCGTTGAAATTTAAGCAAGATGTGAGGAGATCTTTGAAGTAGCTGCGTTGCCTGTTAAGTTGGTGTTGGTGACCGACCGGACATTTCTGGCCCACTGGGCGGCCAAAGGCAACGGCAAGACAAGGGCACACCTGGAAAACTGGTTTTCTCACGATTTCCTATGGTTACTGTCATCGCCGTCATAGTTGGACCGGTATAACGCAGGGATTGGGGTAGGGTATGCTTACACGCAGGACAACGACAGGACATTAGGTTCCGATGCGGAAAAAACTGCCGCGGCAAGTATTCAAATTAGTTTTGCCACAGTACATGTCAGTAGAGTCCACTGCATTAATGCTTAGGCTCAGCAGACTATTGAAAAGTACGATCGAAGAGGGTTGGCATTGGAGTTGTCCTGTTCTGCCCTGCATAGGTCAGTTGTAGGCAGTCATTTAAATTTGCATACTATCGGCCTCCGATGGATGAGAGCCGTGGCCATGGCTGAGGACGAGGCCGATTGCCTATTGCCGAAAACAAACTGGTCAAACCGGTCGGTTCAAATCCTGCATATGCGTATTCGAGTAAATTCGAGTGCCGGCCACTGGTTCTCAAAGTAATTCACTTTTTAGACACCCTTTCCATTTAAATGCCTCATTGTTGTGACTCCCCGGTAACCCTCACAAGCCCATCTATAACACAGTTGAGAGTGCGAGAGCGTTTTCTCGTCTCATCATCCTCGCATGGCACACATGCGACGTCGGTTGAGCATGTGTAAGCGAATGTAAGCATTTTGACTGAAAGCAAAAACATTGTGTAACCGCTATGTGACCAAGCGATTCATTCTGATTTCAACACTGAAGTCGAACATATGTGAAAAGCTGAAGCTCTGAGCTTTACAAGCAACAACTGTATGTCAATAAAAAATACAGAATGTTAAAGTATAAATATATATTTATAAAAAAAAAAAAAAATACATAAATTTCTATATGGCTTAAAATAGTTGTGATTCGTTTGTGCATACATATATAACGAGATAAATCTCGAAATGAAATAAAAAGTTGGACGTAATATATTCAAATATATTGTGATTCATAATACGCATGGGAGAAAATATCTCCTAACTGTCTAATTTTTCATAAATATGCAACATTCGATTAACATATATCGAACAAATATATAAACATGTTTCATTAAAGATTTTTTTTTCTAAAAAAGACCAACATTTTATTTTGTTGAGAAAGTTAATTTATAATGTGCAGCAATATTTATATAATGTCGATTTTCCTAGTTAGGAAAAACAATGTGTAAAGTGAATTTGTATCATATTATGCATAGATCCCTCTCTTGGTTGCATTCTGTAATTTTTTGAGTGCATTTTGATGATATTATGCAGAATCCCTCACTTTGTTGCAGTCGGTAAATATTTCAAAATCTTTAAATCAGTCAAAGTTATTATAAGACTGTAATAGAAGCAGTTAAATAGATTTAAGCAGGTAAAGCTATGTAGATGCAAGTATCTTTATAACAGCTTAATGGTGATTATGGGTTTCTGGTTCAAAAGCAGAGATTTGAACATTATCATAAATTAACTTTATTATTATTTTTACATATTTTTTTAATACAATTTTATATTTCTCTTACATTATTATCGGTAGAACAATGACAAAACAAAGGTTTTTATATTAAACTCAAATTTTAAATAAATTTATTTAAATTTTAAAATAAGCAGTGCAGATGCACTTGGGAAAACTTTCGTCATTTACATTGGTTGTTTGTCCAAACTTTATATATTTTGTAGTTTATAAATAGGTGTATAAATACCAAAGCCTAAGACTAACGTCTAATTTGGTTTTTGAAATTTTGGCGATAACAGAGGATGAATCCAAAAAGTGAAAGAATTAAGATGTGTGTATACTATACGAAAGCCTACATTCAAAATTTTGTGTGCCTAGCCCTTATAAACTCTAAGAAATGTCAAAAAAACAAGATTTCGATATTTGTCGATATAATGGAAACGTT